TAAGAAAAAGTTAAGCTCATTCTATGCAGATACAGGCAATGCAAGTTAAAAAGGCAGAAATCAAAAAACCTGAGATCAAAAATATCAAGCTCAAACACTTTATCACAATAAACTAGAGAAGAAAGACACTTTTTTTTTTTATTAAAGAAACATTTTGTTTAAAGCTACTACATCAATTAAAGGGGTAGTATAAAGTATTAGTGACATCTAGTGGTAGCTAATACCAAAATATCCTCTTTTTTGCATATTAATGGAAATTCTAATCAAAAATATTCACTCAAAAAAAAAATCAAGTTGTAATTTCTGGTATTATTTCCACATAAATTTACAGCCTGTTTGATACAGCCTCACAATAACCGTTATACAGTTGCTACTCCATGAAATATTAAAAGTTGCAGTGTTGGAAGCACTATAATGACTCCGGGTGTAAGAGTTATCATATTTGTGCTGACTATATCCAGCATAGATCCATATGTTGGATAACTGCACGTACCAAACAAGTACAAACTTCTTTTATCCCTGATCTAATACAGAATGTTGAAGTGCAGAAATGGTTTAATACAGGTTTCTCGTGCAGCTATGGTGGAGAAAGAAAGGTGGGCTATCATGGTTAAGTCCACCTGCATGAGTGGATGCATTTTTACATAAGCAATAATGACTATGCACTTAACTGAATTACTCAGCTGAAACAATGTTGAGCTGAAACCTCAGCTTAAATCCTAACCCATCTGCCTCCATCCTTCACCCGTACCAAAATGCTGTACAGCCTATGAGAAGAAGAACACACTGGCACTGTCCTGACGAATCCCTCTGGCCATTAAGGATTTATCAACAGCTGCGTTTTTATGGCGCATTCAAGAGCAATAAATTCTTCCAATATCAAAACCTTAAAGCGATATAAACCTATTTTTATTCGCAAACATCTGCAGTCTTAATCCATCCATCTGAAATGTAAGGTGTAAGGGGAAAGTTAAGATATGTATAAAGTTAGGATGTCCACATAAGACTGCTACTGACAGTTTTTTTTTTTTGTCTGTTTAAGCTACTTTCTAATACATTTGGGGGATTTGGGGAGGTAAATGGGGGATGTTTTTATAGACCAGGTTGCAGGGGAAGAAAAAGACTTGTATATTAGGACATCAACAGCTGTAATTGTTTACATTTCCATCACTTTTCAATCACCGTTAAGAGATCTTAATCTTTGCCTATAGATCCCTTTTCTAAAAACTCCACGAAGAACAACACATTATAATGGATTTTTACTTTGCTGGGAACTATTTAAGCTAAGTGAACTGTATCTGTCAATAAAATATGATAGTGATAAAAACACACTTTTAAGTGCGTGCCAAGCTAAGGAATGAAATATGGAGTTCTAGCAACCCCAAAAATGCTGGCTATCTCCAGGGGATTCCAGTGGTATGTCAGCAGATGTTTTTTAACAAAGCCACACAAAAAACAAAGAAGCGCTTTGACAAAGTGTTGTTTTGCTGTCACAGCCTGCTATAAAAAAAATATGTCAAAATCAAGTATAAATAAAACAGCTGTTTGTATTTACCAACATATTGTAGACATAGAAATGTTATGAATATCTAGATGTTTTAGTTGCAAATACTATAAACATGAAAGCATTAGGCTTTAATAGTGTAACACAAAAAACAAAGAAAGTAAATTACCACGCGCTACCAACTCCCTCGCCTATTAATAACTTTAAAAACCTTTTGGGTATGCAATACCTCTCTGTAGCTTCAATGACACATGCTATGTCATGACACTTGTTTGCTCTTTTCAAAAGAGAATACCAGACAGATGTTTCCACAGTAAAACACTTGACGAGATTTAATCATGATGAGGCCAAATCAATAAAATCAATGATCAGTTGCAACTAATGCAATATTCTCTGAAAGAAGAACTTTTGTTCTATTGCTAAATGCTGACAATGTTATTTACTTAAAGGAAATGCTGAACTTTCAGTTTAAGACAAAGCCCAATTTTTATTTTCAGCAAAACTAATCTAAAATGCAGGGTGACCAAAAAAGTTAAAAGATTATTTTCGAGGCCAACACAGCAAATTCCTACACTTTTCTGACACATTAACTGTCAACACATCTAAAAATGTTTTAATTCCTGACCTGAACAAGATGAGTAAACAAGACTCAACTTTATTCAAGTTGAACTAGGGCCATTAGTGATAAAGGTTAGAGGAGATATTTGGTGCTTATCCTTCCAAAACCTCCTAAAGCTTTAAATTTAAAAACTCAGAAACATATAGAATGCAGCATCTGACTACCTTCCCATAAAAATAATTAATGCATACTCTCTGTCAACAGAAACAGATTTATAATTGTGCAGTTGTTCCTTTTCGTTCATAAGAATTGCTGTCCTGGCAGAGGTGGAGTTTAAATAAGCAAGAGCGCCAAGTTTCTAACACTTTACCTAACGTCAACTGCAGCTGCTTTATTTGCCAAGAGAAGATAAGCAGCTGGTGATGTAAAAAAAATAGATCATGACAAATCATTTAAAATTACTTCAACATATGATTTGAACATTATACCATAAAATCTGACTAAAAAGGAACAAATCTGTTAAAATAGTAAATAAATATTCTCACCATTAAAGTATCTTTTGATTCCTTTTCAGCACTCACTCTTATTTAGCAGAAGTCAGGTACCATATCACATCTTGATGTGGGATAGTTGTGAACCAAACCTTGTGAACATTCTCCACATTTAATTTGGGACATGTTTTGTCTACGTGCAATTAAATTTAGATATATACTCTAGCTAACTATCAAAATATATCTATAATTGTTTCTTTTTATTAAGTCATGTTATTTAAATTTATTTTTGGAGCCACTGCCATACAGATAAAAATAAAAATCCATTTTCAGTATCATCTTGGTAGCAAAAACCAACTTTTGGGTCAAACGTTACTTGTAGTTAAAAATTTTCAAGATCTCATTCATGATGGATGAAAAAAGTATTATCACTCTACCTGAAGAAGAGTGATAGCAGAGCATAATGCTACTGCAATCCTGTTACACTTTGACAGCTGTGTTATTTAAGTGAGAAAGGTTGATTTGTATGGCACAATTCAGTACATGGACAGTTCAAAGTGGTTAACATGAATTAGACAATAAAATAGAAGAAAACTAAAAGCAGAGTAAAAGCAAACACAGATAAAAACATGATTAAAACGGGTAGTAAAACAAATAAAACAGTTGGACAACAAACTTAAACTAATAATACCTCAATTAACAGTTTAACTGCTCCAACAGCTCTAAACAAATTAGTTGTAACATTGACCTAAAAGAACTTTCAGTGCTTGTACCCCCAAACACCAGGCATCATTAAGACATTAGTTTTCAGGCTAAATCTGGTCGATCTGTCATAGTTTTGATTTAGTCCAAAAATAGTTGCATCCACATATAGTTTTTTCCAAGCATCTAGCCAACGCTCTTATAAGTTTATACTCACCTGGTGACATTGTGATTAGTAATATGCACAGTTATGGTAACAGATTTTGTTTTTTTTATATATATAATCAGAGCCAAGGGGAGCATGTAGATGTTGAAAAAGAGGAGCTCCAGAATGGAACTTTGAGGAACCCTGCATGTGATATTAATATCTAATAAAATTGCGTGATCAACAGTATCAAGTGAGGCACTGAGGTCCAATAATACCAGCACTGTGGTCCTCTAGATTTTAAATGTATACGGATGTCATTGAACATCTTAATCAGGGCAGTCTCTATACTGTGGTTGGCACGGAAACCTGACTGGAAGATATCAAAGCAGCTGGTCATTGTTAATAACTCATTGAACTGTTCAAACACACATATTTCAATAATCCTACTGATAAAGGGAGGTTTGGGATGGGTCTGTAGTTCTGCAGGACCAATCAAGCTTCTCTTTTTGAGCAATAGTTTAACAATTGCTGTTTTTAAGCCCCGGGGGGAAACATCTGGCATGAGTGATGTGTTTATGATTTTAATCAAATCAGACTATAAGATATTTTAAAACTTCTAAAAACCCATGGCTAAAACATAAAGACAGGAGGAAACATGCAGTTTATTTGACAGAATTGGGGCATTTGAACAGAATTTATTCGAACTACAGACAGTATGGGTACTGGAGTGGGCGTCGATATGTATACTGCTTTTCTTATATCTTGTGCTTTCTCAGTTAAAAACTCTGCAAAGTCACTGCAGGCCTTTTTCAAAGAAGGTTCATCGGCCACAGAGACAGGAGGGTTTGTTTACCTTCGACTGTGGCAAATAAGGCTCGAGCATTGTTGGTGTTTTTGTTGATAATCTCAGAGAAGAAAGATGCTCTTGCATCTTTTAGTTGTAAATTATATCTTAGAAGTTTCCCTTTATAGGGCCTGTTCTTAAAAAAAGAATTCCATTAAGGACTGATCAATTAAATGGGGAAAATAAATATAAGCTAGTGCTTTGCGGATGATCTAGTGACAAGGTAATTTAGCATTTTTTCCCTTCCCATAACCACAAATTAACAGTAATTTTAAAGTTCCTACTGCAGTAGCTTTGTGGCTTACAGATTGGAAGTGGTACATTGCATAACAACCCAGTTTGCATCCCCAGGCAGAACCACCATCCCTCAACCTAATTATTTCAAATAATCCAGTGACAACTCGATTAGTTGGCTGAACATCATGCATTGGTCTGTCCCTGGACTTTGACAGCAAAGCTCCAGCCATATGTTTACCTTAGAACTATTGATCATCAACAAGTGAGGAAGGTACAACGTTTGCTCAACAGTGAACTTTTCCACATGCATCCGAGCAAACACAGCATTCTGCAAATGATGTCTGACATAAGTGTGATAACAAGTGTCAACAGTATATTGAGCACAAAATCGGAATCACATCAGTTAATATTTGATAGGACACACACTGACAATCTGATGAACTGTCTGAAGAACCGTTCGTCCCCAGTATCGTACCATTTCTTCTCAGTATTCAACATGAAAATTAGTAACTCACCCGATGATGATCTTTGGTCATGATCCATGAGAAATGCAAATCCTGGAGTGGGGAGCCAATCCAAAGCAGAATTGAGGAGTACAAGCAAAATGATGGAGGATAGCGAGACAGTCATGATGCTAGAGAGGGAAAGAGAGAGGAGGTGAATGACAGAGGGACAAACACAGTGATTGTAATTATCAGTTAAACTTCACAATGCCACGTCTATGTGAAAACTAACCCCCCTTCATCCATTAGCTCCCTCTTCTCAGCCTTCCTGTGAGTTCAAATTGTGGTTGGCTATTTTATTATCAGCTGGTGTACATGTAACCCAACACGGCACAGGAGCAATGCACAATAATTGGCCTTTTAGTTTGTTACTGAAGAATTTTAAAGATTAATCTATGAGGCTGTTTTCTGGAACTATTCATTGAATTTTCAGCTAAACAGCAAATAGAACGTTTAACATTTAGTCTTACAACCACAAACATTTATGTTTAAGTAGCTGTAAAGTGGAAGGTAAATTTACATGGTTTTAACGATGTATGCATGAACCATGAAATAATTGTCAGAAAATTCCTTTAATGAACATACTAACAAATAATAATAATAATAATAATAATATATATATATATATATATATATATATATATATATATATATATATATATATATATATATATATATATATATATATATATATATATATATATATATATATATGTTCAATTTATAATGGATTTTCTGTTCACTTCATAAGTCGGATTGTATACATCAGGTAAAAAAATTTAATTAAATTAAAAACTTCACACTGATGATGAGAAGGGTTCTCAAAAACCCATTAATGCTACACTTGGCATTACAACAAAATGTTTAAAAAAAAAAGAAAACTGAAAATGCGTCGTGCATTTGTATTCAGCCTCTTTGAGTTGTGATTTCTAGAACAGGGATTTTCATCTGGTGGTTTAAACTATTGTAATACTTTATGTTTTTGCCTTTTCCTCTTAATAAAAATATGAGCTTTTTATTTCACTTGTGGTTAACTTTCCCAAATGTTTCTGATGAAAAAAAAAGTCACCATGTCAATTCTTCCCTTTTTAAATTCATAGCTCCACTTAGCTCTCAGACGGTAATATTATGTCCCTGTCCGCCTTCTCCCATTTTAGATTCACCAAAAAGACTGCTAATACTCGCATACTTGTTGACAAAATATTGAGTTGCATCCAAATATTAAAATTACTAAAGGAATGGTGTGAGATAATTTATATTTCAGATTTGGCTCTACATGTTGCTTTTATTTTTGTTTAGCTCAATTTTGACCTACATTTCTTGGTCAGGAAAATTGTGATTAATAACAATCAAAATTGTCATTATAATTACTCATGGTAAATTATAGCATTTTTGATCAGTTATTTAATTCTAACTGATACAATCCAAATAAGAGATGCACCATTAATTTGGAGGAAATCCTGATCTGCCAGTTTTTATTTGTTGGACTCTGAGTTGTGCTGAAAGAGTTAAAAAACTGAATCAGAAGGTCACAACTCAAAGAAAATCCATATTGGTCAGGAATGGTCTAACTAGTACACCTCCTAAAAAAACCGTCAAATCTCCTACACAGTTCCATTTGAAACTTTCTCCACTGGTAGCGGTTCAACCTCTGATCAGACCAGTCTATTTTGAAATATTACCACTTATGACACCTAATCCAGCACTTATACTTAAGGCTGAGCTGCTGCATTTAGATCCCATTTATCACAGAACCTCATTTGTCAAATCCTAGTTCTGTTTTATATTCAATTCAACCATGTAAAGATACTATAATTTAAATGCTTATTAAGCTTTGGTACCAAGTAAGTAGAATAAATACAGCTCTTGAAAAAATAAGCTATAATTTTCAATTCAATTTATTTATATAGCACCAATTCACAACACATGTAATCTCAAGGCACATTACAGATACAATTCTGCCAGATCATACAGTCATATTGGTTCAAAGTTTTCTAAGGAAAACCAGTTGATTGCATCAACTCATTGACTCGAAGGCAATCCCTCACACCACGCATGCTTGTAGCGACAGTGGAGAGGAAAAATATATGATATAAAATAGAAATATCAGAATGAAGAATAGAAACGTATGATTTCGTCTGCCTACAAAGTGCAAATAGCAATGAAGTCACTGTTTGTAAAAGAAAAGCAAAAAATAGAAACAAAACTAAAGGGTAATTTACAAAAGATGCTCAGTCTTTCAAAAACCACACTTCCAAACAAGCCCGTCCCAGACACTGCCAACTACCCATGCTATTCTATTACAACAACACTCAGAGGTTTGCTGTTTGTTATCCTTTTCAAATAACTGAATATTGTCAACAACAGAGAGAACCCTCCATGGTCATTCAGAATGTGCTGGAGGACAAGTTCTACAAGAGAAGTCCAACCTCTAAATTTAGGCCGAACCTTCAGTCCACACCCTTAGCTATTTACAGCTGCACTGCTTAAGCTTGTTGGGCAACCAGCAACTCTGAACGTGGAGCACTGGTCTCTGCCAGTGTTTTTCCAAACTCTGATGCTGAATCTTAACTTTGTTTCAAATTCAATTGTTTCCTGTTCATTGCACCTTTTAAATTAGTAATAAAAAAAAATAAAAAATAAAAAAAAAGATGATTCATAAAGATGTTTACCAAGAGTTTCAGACTTTCACTGTGTAGTAAAGCTCAGGATATTGGACAACAACGTTTTTCTTTATGTTTAATGTCCGGGCTGAAGTGTACGTCCTGTGTGTGTGTGTGTGCCTGAATTCCATGTGCCAAGGGGCCACAGAAGGCCAAGTTATACAATGCAGGAATTCATGGCAGAAAGCTGTCAAGCAGCAGGCTCATCTGGACCGGGAAGAATGCCCCACTTACTTTGTGTGTTGCTCAGTTTCAGCATTGGCCATGCAATCTTTAAAATAACTCAGTCCCCCTTCCAATTAAGCTTTAATAACTTGCAAATATTCACATCATCTTTTAGCTGATGCTCTATTAATCCCACGAGAACTTTCAAATCATTTTCACACATCGCTTCTACTTGGTATTTTCTTTCAGAGTCTATTTTAATGTATATGGAGGATCTGAACTGAATAAAACGTAGAGCTTCTTTGCTCCAACATGTGGCCTCATGTTAATCCTTTAAAAGTGTCTGGAAAGCCTTTTTACGGCTGCACGTTTGTCCCTTATTTCTGTTTAGGCCGATGAGAAGCTCTCAGATTCCCAGGAAAATCGTGGGGTCCAATAAGAGAAGAGGGAGGATCAGTGAGAGCCTCCCTGGTTCCCTTGGTAAACATGTGTGGTCAACCCTTCTCCCAAAACAGTTTTCATTAAACGCACATGCATGCATGCAAAATGAGCACATCACTACCACCCACACATATATGCATGAGGGTTTATTCTAACTAAAGTTTCACTTATCACCTTGCTGCCAACAACATGCTTCTGCCATGTTTCCTCAAATTTCTACTAATCATCCTTGTTTGTTCCAAATCAGCTGAAGGGGAGGGGCTGAGGGAGTCAGAAATAAATAGGATGGTGGTACAAAGGTGAAAGCAAAGAAAATTAAAAGGTCAGAAGAGGAGAGGTCATTTCATTTCTGTTAGATTCTCTTCAATGCATCATAAAAGCATACAATCCCACACACACCCACAGAGCAATGTTGCAAGCCTGAGTTCAGCCTGAGTTTCATCTGAAGAGAACACAGGGTACAGAAAATTTGCAAACCCTGTACAGACTACTTGTTTTAAATATGACTACAATTATATGTGTTAAAAAAATAGGAGTGTCAATTTCTAGCTTTTTTATTCCAGCTAAGCATGTGGGTATTATAAAGAATAAATGAAATAAAATATTAGGTTTAATAATAGGTAAGAAAATCTCCGATTTTGATTTTATCCATTTTACACTCTCAATTTTACTGGTATACATTCATAGAAATTCAAGGAAAGACAATCCTAATTGCTTAGGAAGAAGGCAAGGACAAAAAAAACCCGAAGAATTTCAGCATCTGTTTTGACGTATAAGTTGAAAAGCTTAATCGTACTCGTACTCGCACTCATACTTGTCATCTCTCGCTTTATCCCGAAGGAAGTGTTCCAGGGAGCATCCAAAAAAGATGTCCAATCCACCTCTGCTGGCTCTTCTTGATGTAGAGGAGAATCAAGTCTACTTAGAGCCTTTCCTTAATGACCAAGCGCCTCACCCTATCTCTAAAGGTGTACCCGGCCACCCAGCAGAAAAAAGCTAATTTAATCTACTTATATCCTGGATATCGTTCTTTCAGTCCTGATACAGATTTCATGATTGTAAGTGAGGCAGGAACATAGACTAACTGACCAAGAGCTTTGCCTTTTCGCTCAGCTCTCCCTTTACCAACAGACTGGTGCAGCATCCGCATTATAACAGCTGCGATACCAATCTGTCTATCAATCTCCCGCTCCCTTACTCGCAAACGGGACACAAAGATACTTGAACTCCTCCACTTGAGGCAGGAACTGTTCTCCAAACCAAAGGGAACAAGCATCTGAATGAAAGGCTTTTCTGGCCGAAAAGCATATGTCCATTGCAAATGTTAGGATATTCTATAGTAGTGGACATAGCACCAAGATAGGAGGAGTGTACAGTAATTAGAAGGATGTTACAACCCGCAAACTTTCAGTTAACCTGTAACATCTAGATTACACATCCATTGCTCCTGTATGTGTCCGTTCCATGGGAGGGTGTTGAGCACCGCTTCAAATTGTTTTTAAGACCTTTGAGAGCATGCGCAAGAGATCCGACCGGAGACAAGCGGACCGCAGCTGGGCAGAAAATTTTAGTTGCTCTTTCTCTTTTTTAATTTCTGAGTTTCAACGCCCCACAGGCGTGAACATGTGTAAGTGGAGCAAAAACAGAGGATGAGAAATGGCCTGGAGGGAAACAGCCCTATTCTTTGCTCCTGTTCATGCATACAGTATCTATCAAAATTAAGCGCTATCTTTCCTGTCGAGGTCTGAGTGCTAAAGACAAAGTAATTGTATCAATAAATTTTTCCTAATTGTATTTTCTCTTTGTGTATGTTTTTTTCAGATTAGAATGTGAATTCACACACTCCTAAAAAATACATCTATTCAGTCAGTTTTAGCTGGAATATCTTAATTTTTATCTTGTTAAATAAGGAAAAAGTTGTGATTTGTTGGATGCAAGATATGTTTGCGCGTTCCTCCTGACCGGCTTTGGTAAGAATGTGATTTATCTTTTAACTCCGCTAGTTGTAAAACAAATCAAGAATGTGATTTGTCACCCCTGCTACTGCTGTAACGATTGGCTAAGAGTTCAATGTGGGACAATACTATTATTGCACCTTTGTGCGTTTCTTCATCATTTTCCTTGGGGAGTGCTGGACTAGTGGTTAGAGCAGTGCGCTTGTGTTCTGAGAAGATTGCAATTACACGGTTCGATCCCCACAGCCTACACTATGGGTCCCAAAGCAAGACCCTTAACCCCACACTGCTCCCTGGGTGTCGCACAATAGCAGCCCACTGCTCCCGAAGAGGATAAAATGCAGAGATCAATTTCTCCAGTGTAAAATAGATAAAGTTAATTATGAGTATTTACTGATACCAATTTTGGTGAGATAGAATTTCAGCAAGCATTGTACATGCTATTATGCTCATTCTATAGTGTGAAGTGTTTGAAACATGATCATGTGATATTATTCAAACAGCAAAAGGTGATGATGAACAAGACATTTTCAGTCATATCAAAATAAAAAAAAGTAATAAATCTCAAGTCCGAAAAATAAGAAAAAGCTGAAGCATAAATTGTTTGAAAGCTCCTTTGCAGCATCTCCTGGTATATAGCTTATATACAATATACTAGAGGAGCTTGGAGATTGGTCCCCTTTTTCACTTACCAGTGTTGAGTCTGACATAGTGGAAAAATTCCAAACTTTCTTTTGGAAAGTAAGCCTTTATGAGCGATGCTAATGGCAACTTTTAAACAGAGCGTGCATGTGGAGAAATGGGCTTGTGCATTTTAATAACCGGTTGAGCGCTGCTAACCTCAGACAAGAGCTGAGGTGATTCCAACAAAGATTTAACATGCTTAATCCAATTCTTCAGCTGAAAAAATGACAACAAAAACTCCATATTGAGGATCCACTTTCTAGGCTTTTTTTTTATCTTAGTTTTCTATATATTTCTGTCTTTGCTATCTTTAAATTGGAGCAACTATAGCCTATCCAAACACTGATAAAAACAAACATGTTAACCTGTAAAACTGAATTGTTAAATTTGACTTTGTTGCACTTTATCATTTGTTCTAAAACAAGTTTATAAAATGTATATGGATTATAGAGCCTATATAAATTAATGATATGTTTCATCATTATGACTTTTTGCATGCAGATGTAATACAAATACGTTGAGGGTTATGAAATGATAGGGTAATACAAATCAATGTAAAACAGCTGCAGTGAAAGGTGTGCAATAAGTTTAAATGCTGTTTAAAATTGACTTACATTTTTACAAAAATGAAATCAAACACAGGATGAGGCTATTAATTTGGTGACTTCTACAAGATGATTTTAATTTTTAAGCTAAATTTCTTTTTGTTTATACAGTAGCTAATCCTTAGGTATAAATTTAATGACTTAAACAAATTTCTGTCTGTACTGTATGCATGTCCTCTGTGTAGATTCCTGCTAATGTGTTGGTTCTTTTTACCTTGTTTGGGGTACAATCTCCAAAGTATCTACAAATTATCTTTTTCTCACATAGATAAAGGGAGATAAAACAAGGGAGCTTCTTAGCGTTCATTTTTATATAAAAAAAACAGTGTATCTTTTTTACTTTCCCACCAGCTGTTTTTCAAATAAACATTTAAAGAGAGAGATAACTCTTCACCACTGGATTTTATGTATAACTCAAACAAAAGACCTACAAGCTGCAGCTGCTCCTTATAGCCTATGGACAGTTTGACGTATGTTTACTTCCCTCAGTGTGCACCTATATTAGGATATATAGGCAGTCACAGGGAGTCCATATGCACAGACGCATGTATTTGTATCTTCGGGCTTATGTATGTGTGTGCGCTCCAAGCCATTCAAGCCTGGCTACTGGATGGTTCTAATGTCTCCTACTCCAATTTCATAAGAGAGTGTGGAAAACTCAGAGTCAGCACACTGGCATGAGAGGAGCCTCGACTGGAAGCAGATCAGGTCACACATCTGCAAAACCCTATGCACGACTGTGTGTGAGAGAGAAAAAGAGCTGTGTATGGGTGTGTGTGTGTTTGGGGGGGGGGGGTAATGCACATAAAGGAGAAAGGAAGATGTATACAATGAACATCTAAAAGCCTGAGTCCAGTAGAGGTGGGGGGAAAAGTTTGCTGCAGCAATCATAACATTCCAGTGCAAATGCAGAATTCCAGGCGTTGTTCTTTGCAGACAACAAATCGCTGAGTGGGAAAACAAAATAGAAGCTAAAGGTGCTTTAAACAACTAAAACCTAGGTGTTGCACAAATTAAGAGAAATGAGGTGTTTTCAGGTTAAACCTTCCTAAAGATACCTAAAAATACAACAATCAAATTGTTTTCTAGAGAAAACCCAGATATAAAGTTGCTTTAATTTGCTCTATAGAGGCTCTATTTCTCTCTGCATCCTAGCAGCTGATTTCTGATGAGGGGAAAATGCAAGTATGTTCATTCTAATGGTTTTCATAGATCTGCTGAGCTGTCGGACAACATGTAGAACATTACAGATATTCTTTAGCAGAGACAGACACTGATGGAACAAATGTCTCATAAAATACCTTACCTCGTCTCTATAAACAACCTAGTCAGCAGCCTGTTGTGTTCTGCTATGAAACAACTGGGCTTTATATGCTTCTGAACAAATGGTTCTTAAAATAGGTAATTCCATTCAGCTCTATCTGTATGACAATATTAAAGGTGTCTGGATAAAATCTATAATAGAAATGCAAAACCTAAAACAGTTTGCATTTGTTCCAAAATAGGTCACACTGCAATTCTATTTTAACATACATTTAGTCTTCCATGCAGACGCATAGTAATAATCAAATAAAGCAATCAACATGGCAAAAACCTCAATATCCCCAGGGATATCAACAAGACAAACAACTTAATTTAAAATAAATAATCTTGATTGATTAGATGTTCTAGTTGCACTATTTCTACTCTGTATTCAGGAAAACTTCAAAATAAAAAATGATGACTTTTTTTGAGTGAACTGAGTAACTGTTATGAATAATTGCGTAGCAGAGACAGAAAGTTCTACAATTTCACAGCAGTTAAATGGTTATTTGTCCTAATGTAAAGTCAAAACTCGACAGTGTTTTGATTTTACGAGAGTGCTTTGCAGGAGTGTTTAACAGCCTTAATTGTTTTTCAAGTCCAACATAACAACCACTATCCTCAACGTACTACTGTATATTTGGGATACATTAGGACAATTTCGCACTGTGTATGACACTAATGTGAAATGGAAGTTAAATAAAATGTAGCTTTCAGATTTTTGTTTTTTGTTTTTGTCTTCTTCATAAATAAAAAACTAAAATGTGTGGCTTATATATCATTTTAGGCCCCTTTAATGGAATAGCACTTTATCAAATTCATTGTTAAACATCTTTAGAAGTCTCCTGACTTGCCTTAAATTATGATCAATTTAAGGCAAGTCACTTATGCATAATTCTAGTAATCAGCTGCTGAAACTCAGAGATTGAGTTGGGCTTTATAAAGAAGCAAAGTGACACAATTATCCTGTGTGTTAATCAAAATCATGAACTTAAAACAGCACTGTTGGCCAAAGTGCTTCACGGTGATAAAACTGACACAACACACGTGTGTTTAGCAGATGTAGCGTATACACAATACCTCCAGAATCACCTAATAAAAAAAAAAAAAACTGATAAAAAAATAGTTAAATTAATTAAAAACTGAGTTGAAAGCAAAGGAGAAAAATGTGTTTTAAATGAGGACTTCTGTCTGTCTAATTAGCACTGGTTAAAAGAATGTTTAGCAGCTGTATTGCGGTTACATTATTTCTCTATGCAGCTTGAGTCTAAATGTATAAGACTATTAAAATAAGAATGCACTTACACTCGTCCAATCAAAATCCAGAATGCATAAATGCGAAATAGAAAAGGGTACAATATGTGGCAAAACTAGAAAACTGATGCTCTGCATCTAATCTGACTGAGTGCAAGTTTTCCTGCAAAGAATAGTCACATATTTAAATAATTAAACTTATAGTAAACACATTGAAGGTTGTTCCACGATATACTGAATTCAATGCATATGCATTTTTTTCTCAGCTCTTATTTTGCAAATAATTCTTTTAACCTGTCATTTTCTTTTAGTTTCCATGTATCCATTGTGTAATTTAATGTATGTCTCCATAACAGCAATAACAAGAAAATATTGTAACTTGAGGTTTATGACAAAAAAATAAATAAATAAATATATATATATATATATATATATATATATATATATATATATATATATATATATATATATATATATATATATATATAGTAAATATATTTACAAATATATACAAAAATATATATAGAATATAAATATATAGGATATAAATATATATAACATATAATATATATACTGTAAACATACTAAAATTAGTTCCATCCATCCAAACCAACACATGGGTATTCACGTCTAGCAACTTTTAAAGAACCCTAAACTTTTATTGAATTTTTCTCCCCCAAAAAACAAGCCTCGCTTTTACTAACATTGTCTCTCCTCTGCAAACTGCAAAAGGCTGTTCATGTTTACAAAAGTGCTTGAAGGGATTTTGCGACAATCTGCTTAATATGTGTGTGGGGGGGAAAGTTTGGCATTTAATGCTTTCCAAACGTGCATTAGCGTTCACAAGCGCAGAAACAATGCGTTTTGCAAACTCTGTCAGAACTTACTTGTTGCGGAGGTTTCGAGCTGAGAAACTGCAGGAACAGCCCAGAGCGACTTTCAGAAGTTGGTCATTTGATGGTCAGCGCCAGCTCCAACAGGCACGACTCCTCAAGCTTCCCTTTCGACCCGACTCGTAGAAAATTCTCCTCCTTCGAGGTTTTTACATCACCGAAGTAGTGAATCGGATGCGAACTTTACGCGTGGACGGTTTTCGTCTTATTTGGCGCTCATCATCTGGTCCCGTTCAGAGGGGCGCGCGTGCACTAATAAGAGAAAGACTGTGGGTGTCTGACGGCGGTGAGGCGCCCTCATCCGCCAACTATTGAGGTCTGCTGAGAGAGGAGGACCACAGAGCTGTTACTGAACCAGAATGCTGGGTCAAACCTCCAAAATAAAATACCCCCATAGCCCCACTTTACCCAGAGGCGTAGCCAGAACATTTTAATAAGGGGGGCCAGGCAATAACCAATGTACTGAGTGGTGGCCAGAACCTCAGGGTGCATCTACACTGTTGCATCAAGGAAGACCACAACATCCATATTTTAGAAATAAAGACTAACTATACTTTCCCCTAGCCTTTCCTAACAAATAGACGCATATGTTTAAACATCTGCGCTGACTAAATAAAAGATATAGTGAACAAAATTTCTGGGGCAAATGTCTTCTCTGCATGGGCGGTTCTAGATAGGGGCCAACAGGGGCCAGTGCCCCCATAGATCATGTCCTGGCCCCTGTACTGAAGACATAATACTGTGCCGGAACAGACAAGGTTACTGATTTCATTTTTTTTTTTCTTTAAAATTCTGTTTTACTAATTATTTGATAACAATAACGTGATAGCTTCAGTGGTATTGAGATATGATCCCAGTTTTCATCTGCTAAATGTTAAAAAAAGCTGAATTTATCAGTTCATTTTTTCTAATTTAGATTTTAGCTTAAATTAGGTCAAAAATATGTAAATATGTGGCCATGGCCACCCCTGGCCTCCTATCTACCATATCTCCACCCCTGACTTTACTACAAAGCTCTGCTTTGGATAATACAGTTGTGTGTGTGTGACTCTTATTAGAATCACCTAATCTCATATTTAATAGTTAAATTATTCTTTATGACAACATATTAGACTTGCTGTTCCCTACTGGACAATGGAAATAACAAATACAAGTTATAATATTTAGGTAGAATTTGGTACAGAAGTGGTTATAGTTTTATAATTTACCCTCTACTGAATATTACAAAAGTACAAATTAATAAACATGGTACAATTTTGCGAGTTTTTCTGGCTACTATTCAAACCCTCCAAAATCCTACTTTGAAATATAGGCAGCTTTGCAAAAAAAATAGATGTGTCAAAATAAATAATTGGTATATAAGCTGAGAGGACATTAAACAAACTATTTGCTTAGAGGGCTCACATGGAATGTCAATACGAGATGCAATGCCAATAGAAGCTTGATCACAGCTTCTGATTTAAGCAGCTGCCTTTCCTGGATCCAAAACTGATCGGTCTGCATGGGGATCCGCCCCAACACATGAGCATGGAAAGATAGAAAATATTTCCAGCTGTTGCTTGGTGTTGACATGCAGTCTTTTATATATATATATATATATATATATATATATATATATATATATATATATATATATATATATATATATATATATATTTTTTTTTTTTTTTTATTATTATTATTTTTATTTATTTATTTACTTTTTTTTTACTTTCTGTACTGATATAATTTGACTTCCAGCCTTCAATGGCCTTGAAGCTAAAGCAAATTAAGTTTTTTTATTAATGAGTGTAATTTATTTGGGATATAAACATATGGATAGGTTTCAAACAATGCAAATTAACAACATTAACAACTATGCTAAAGAAGAGTGTATACAAACAGAAAAGAGTTTAAGATGGTCAGAGACACAGAGAGCTGGTGTGATGTTTTGTTCCCTTCTCCCTCCTTTGCAATGAACAGTATCTGTGTTGACATAATTTGTGGTGTGAAAGTGAGGGAAATGCAATTGCCCTGTCTGCACTGAGGAGAGCCATCTTTCTTATTTTTATACCCCTGTTCCCTTCTCATTTACAATGTCCACAAGTTATGGCTTTACTTTACTAAATCCTCCTACTGCAGTGCTTATAAAACCCCTTTTATGGGACACAACACAAAATAAATGCGGTAATAAAACAAAACTCAAATTATTTTTCTAATTGTTGTATTCCATCATATAAACACGTATATGAACTTTTATCTACTTAACATACTCATTTCATCCCAAAAAAGGGTTACACATTTATTTTGAGAAAGAGAAACAATTACCACAAATCTGCACACATTAAATGGCTCATTTATCAGAGTTATGTGACAGACAGGTCTAGTTTGAGAAGTGAGGGGGCGTGCAGTAAACTACTTTTCCCTTACTGAATCATGTGGAGTTATGCTCTATTAAATATGACAACAGAACAATGCACCTGACCCACAGACCAATGGCACTAAATTCTTTGGAGCACTGGAAAAAAAAAAGTTTTCTCCCTGTTGTCCAAATGAGCTGCACTGTCTATTGGATGTTTGCCACTTAGTGTTTGACTTATTATACCAATCAAAAATATATCTATAATATATCTATAATGTGATAAAAGTTTATTTACCCCCTTAGATTTTCAGTTTTTACATTTTAGTCAAATTTATATATAAGAAAACAACAGCCTTAGTAAAAATAATCCTGTTTCAATTGATTCTTTTTTTGAAAATTTAAAGGAAAATGTTTGGTTAAGAGTGGCAAAGGAATCCACTTTGTAATCCATTTATCACACACAAAAAAAAGGAAACGAAAGTACTCTGTAAGAGGGCAATCCTTTTTTCATGGCCCAACATTTTGTCAGTAAAGGGGTTTGAAGGATATTCTAAGAGAATAATAAATACCTTCTATTAAAATACCATTCCATTGAATGTGTGTGAGATTTAGTCAAAAAAAAAGAAAAAGAAAAGGAATTTGAATTGTAGGAAAATAACATTAAAGCTCCTTTGTTTTAGTCCTGTCAGATTATGTAGAAATGGTTTATCCGGACCCAACACCTTTAATTTTCAGGCAGGGCTACATTAGATGACAAGATTAGAGTTATATTTCTTAAATACTTAATGAAATGCTTTCTTATTGATAGCCGTATTTCATTTGTATTAGGCACTCACAACATTGGACCCATAATTTAAGCAAACAGCACAGGGATATATCAAGACAAGCATTAATTTAAAAAAAAACGTGCTCAATAGCAGGGGGAAGGTTAACTGAACCCTCTGGTTCTGAGTTCAGTCTGAGCCCAGAGGAAGGATAGAATCCAGACCGGTGGTTTCTCCACAGCTTGCATTAGGAGCTGCTCCCAGAGTGAAGAGCTGAGCTGGCTGATTAGTAGAAGCCAGCAGACGCCAAGGAGTAGAAGTATATGTGTTTGGGGGGGGGGGTCCAAAGCCGGAGTCCTTGCAGAACCAGTTTTCCAGGCCAGAAGATCGGAGAGCTGAAAAGGTACCAGAGGAGAATCCAAGCCGAGGTTAGAAGACAGGTCCAAGGTCGGTAAGCAGGCAGAAACCAGGAATCAGTCCAAAACAGATCAGGCAAACAGGGTAGAACTGGGGCAAACCAACACATGGGAGTCCAACAGCAGAAGAGTTACCTTCAGACACAGCTTGAATAATCTGGCGCTGATTTCCAGGAAAACAGGCAGCATAAATAGCAGCAGGCAACAGGTGGATCAGATGAACGGTAATGGCAACCGGGCAGAGTAGATGGGTGAATTGAATGAGCAATTAAGCCAGCCATCAGTGCCAAGATCTTGACAATTTAAACTTTGTGATGTAATTGTGATGTGTAAATTATCCCGCAATTTCTGGACTACTTTTCAAAACAGTGTATAGAGCCACACTTTTTTGTGATTATTCTTTCAGTGATTATTCATCCATTTTATTCTGTTTTACTATCCAGCAAAATTCCAATCAGCCCCAAACAGCTCCTATGGCTTGGCTGGACTCCAGCCGAGGAAGCTACCCACCTCTAAACACCACTTAGTCTGTAAAACTCTGAATCTATCCTATTTAAGAGTTGCAGACAGAGACATCAGATCAGGTCAGGTCAAAACACAAACCCTGGGAAAAAGGTATTTCATCAATATTGTAATTGTATCATCAGTCCTTTCCTATTACTCTTGGTGAAAAGAGGGGCAGAGCTGTTAACTAATGCTTGACTGAGAGGAAGACTGATCTGTTGCAAGGGGAGACTTAACAGAGTTAATAGAAACCAAAAGGATGAAGAAGCAGACTTGCTTGTACTTTGGGGATGAGTAAAGCAACTGACAGATATTGGGTGGCCAGCAGGACTGACTTCTGGGGCTGAAATTGTTGGTTACTCCAGGAATTCATTTTTTTTAAACAAACCACTGGACTTAGTTCAGTGGATTGGACTTAGTCCAGTGGTTTGTTTTAAATTTTTTTGGAAATGCTGGAGATAAATCTCCAACGGAAAATCAAACCTCAGATCCACGGGATAGAATGTGAGTTTTGCCATGCAGGGGAACAGTGGGGCAAATACTTCAACTGGCTGACAGAGCAAGATGCAGGAAAAAAAAATCTGCCACAATGAGCTTCCTCTAGTGCAATGATTCCTTAAAATGGGGTTGTGACCCCACTTCGGGTCCTTGATCAACCAGTATGGCAGTATGGGGTCTTTAGATCCACTAAAGAAATGAAATTAAACAACAGAAATGTATTTTAACATGCTTAAATATATGAAAGCATCACCTAATAATTGACAAAATGAACTTATTTGGTTGCGGGTGATTTTTTAATAACATTATACTGTTTGATTTTCTTTGCAGAGGTATTGGTGTACTCCTCCAGTGGGTTGAATGAGTTGACTCTTGTGAGTCTTTGTGGTTCAGAAACTGAAAAGTTTAGGAACCTCTGCTGTAGTGGATGATGGCACTAAACAGTATTTAAAGATTAAAGGCAAGATGTACAAGTGTAAAAACTACCTAACTTTCCACTGTTCTGTGATCAAAGTCAACAAAATTGGTGATGACATCCTTTCTTTTCCTTTCAGTTTTTCAGTATTTTTTAAGTAGTTTTTGTAGTCTATTTTACTTTACTACATAGTCTCCAGGTAATAACAAATGTTTGTGTCTGTGTATTCACTATCTATAATTTATAAATAGTCTTTTTAAAACACATTTGAAATTAAGTATTGATAATATAACAACAAGATAACAAAAAACAAAAGCCCATTATACAAAAGCTGAATGAAGAAATTCCAGGATAGGAGATAAAGCCAGGCTGGACCTAGTGTGAGGAGAGCATCCTGGCTTCATCTGGTCCACAAAGGCC